TTAACTCCCAAGGGCTGCAACAGCTACCTTCGCCCCCAAGGGGCAGCAAGCTCGCCCCCAAGGGCAATAAGCTCGAGAGCTAGGACAGCTACTGTCGCCTTCAAGGGCAGGAAACTCCCAAGAGCTCCCACGGCCGTCCGTCAGACCCGCGATAGTGGCGCCCGTAGCGGTCTGCCACCCTCCCCCCCCCCCCGGTCATCCCGCGGCGCTTGCCCGGTCGCCACCGGCGCTCTGCTCCTTCAGCGCACCCTGCCGAAGCTTGTCTAAGCTCGTTCTTATCAACCAGGAAGCAGGGATAGAAGAAATAGCGTTTCTCGTCCCCCGAGCAAGTGATTGTTCAAGCTGTCCAAGCCAGTGTAACCTTCGTTCAACCATCTCCCGAAATGAACATTAGACAAAACGGAATTCCGAAGGTCCAATCCCAGATGACACCACTAATCGGTCCGCGGCGTCGCATTGCATTCGCCAACAACCAGCGACCCGCACCACTCGGTCAAACTGACCCTCGACCGCTCACGCGGCTGCTCCTCGCCCGGCAAAGGCGGTCAAGCCACGCAAAGACGCGGGCACGTCAGAGCCCGCGTGGTCCGGAACAGCGACAGCCGACAGGTATCCGTGGTGTGCCTGCGAACCGACGGCGCGCCGCTGCGCGCGCTTTAGGTCTGTAAAAACTCAATAAGACATCATCTGGGACCACCACGATCACCCCGTTCCGGAAGGGTCACTGCCCCCTCGACTCTCCCTCAAACACCATGTTCCTTTCTCCTTGGCCCTGTCCCACTGCCCGTCCCATGACTCCAGCGGACAGTCACCCATGCCCCAGCTGTGAGCCATGCGGCCGGGCGCCGCCATACGACACCGTGACCGATAAGGCCGGGCTGTTTACTTTATTGGGTCTCCGCTGCCCGGTCCGCCGCGCCGCGGCGCCGGCGGGCCCGTGGACCGCGCGGACAAAGGGAGGGCCATTCCCGTTTTTGAGCGGCATTTCACTCGATGCTGCTACCACGCTGCTATCGCATTTTGCGAGCTGAAGTCACACATGTGACGACATTTTGGCAGGGTTGGAGATACGGATGTACGGATGTCATGGAAACCCAATTAGCACGTGTGATAGCGCACGCTGGCAGCGGCCGTAAACAGGGCCCTGGCCCGGCGCCTAGATCTGGCTGCGTGCGGCGTGCTTCGATGACGTCACCCACCCGGCTCCGCTCGCTCAGCCGGAGCGCAGGGGTTAAGCGCCGCTGCACCGTTGCAGCGCGCAGCGATACCAGGGTGCAGGTGGTCACGGGCCAACCTGATATCAGCCCTGAAAATGTCACCCGAGGTCACCAAGTCACTGACCGCGTTCGCCCCCAAGGGTACCGCACCGCACCCACCAGCCCCCAAAGGCTTCAAAGACCAACCAGCAGGCCCCTCAGCCGCTGCCACACTCCATATGCACAGGGACGTCTGACCCCGTCCCGCTCCCCCGCCGCAGTCGGCAGTCGCGCTGGCAACCAGTCACCGAACTGTGACAACAGGAGACAAGAACAGAACAGAAGGCAAGCGCTAACCCACAGTCTGGGTCCTCACGGAGCGCTCCCACGACCACAGCTGCCGCGGTGGCGCGCTTCAAGCGTCCAAAAGCTCTTGACGAAGCAACGAAAAAAAAAACGTCCACGACCGTCTCTCCCAAGCCGATATTGCCAGCCTATTCGATTTGTAGCACGAGATGTCGGACAACACCATCCAGATTAGACAGCGCGTGACTCCGCAATAACGCAAGTCGCGCGAATTCTGTCTACACGCTGATTATACATCGACAGCTGACAGCCATGACCATAAGCTCCCAAGAGCTGGAAAGTGGCGCCTTCGCGGTCTGCCCACAAAAGCATCCCTGCTCTCGAGAGCGCAGGTTACTGCGCCCATCAAGCTGTCGCGGCACCCGGCCAGTTACACAACAGCGAACTCGGCCCTTCGCTTACCTGTAGTCAGTGGCATCTACTGACAAACCTCGCGTCATGAGTCGTCACAGGCGGTTGGTTCTCTGCCTCCTAGCTCCTGCGCTGCGCTGAATCGCAAGGCACCGCCCTTCTGAGTACCATGCCACCACTCCCTCTTTCGCCGTCACTATTCATAGCCTCTCTGTCACTCCGAGTGTCACACAACGAGAGAAGCCAAAAAAATGTTGAGACCATGACCGATGGTCCGTCCCCTTCGCTGGCTCGTCTCTGACTGTCCTATATCCCGCGCTCCCCTCGTGCCTCCCGCCCCAGCCCGCCCGCTCCGCTTATCTCTCTCCCTCCCACCCTCCCTCCCTCTCCCTCGCTCTCTCCGGCATCTGTCTGCCCTCGCCCAACGCCTCTTAGCCGGGGGGCCGCTAAGTTGCCAATCATTCAAATCATTATGACATCGCCCGATGGATTACTTTTGCAGAACGTTTATTCCATGCGTTCTTGATTTTCTGCCAAGTGAGTGGTCACGCCATGCAACTACAACTACTGTAGTCATATGGTTGCCTGTTAATGCTGAAAAGGGCTGAAGCTGATTACGAGGCTTGCAGTAGAGGCTGTCGGCAGCGCGTTGCGACCTTTGGACTTAAGTCAGTTGGTAATGGGTCCACTGATGCAGGGTGCAGGCGCGTCTGGACTAGTGGTGCCAATTTCATGAAATTTCAATTCCAATTCCGATCCAATTCCAAGAAATTGCCAAGTAAATTTCCAATTTTGTCCAAAGCGGGGGCAATTCCAATTTTTAACGATTTTTGCATTTTTTGCGTAAATTTTTAAAGTGTTTAAAAGCGTTTTAAAGGCCTCCGTTTTAAAATTTTAAATTTTTAAAGGCCTTGTGTTCCGATTAATTTCCAAAAAATGTTAAGAATTCCGTCCAAATTCCAAATTGGAATTGGACAAAAATTGGAATTCCAAGAAAAGAAATTCCGATTGGCACCAATAGTCTGGACCATCCCTGGACCATCCCTGGAGAATCCCTGGAGGATCCTGTCATTCTCCGAACCGACAAGGCTCCGTCTCAGTGACCAGACCCGTGCCGTGACGCCCCGTCTGAACTTACGGTACTCGTTTTGCCCGTTGCTGGGGCGATACAGATCCCTCGTGCCTCGTACTCGACACCGATCTGGGTGTGGGTGTCAGTCATCCAGATTTCCGCCCTCTAAAGGACGCCACCGCGGCCGAGCAGCCGCGGCCGGTGCCATCGATGTCATCGATGCCGCTCAGTCTGCTCAGCCGTGCATTAGAATGGCGTGTTGTTGCTGAGTCCTGGTGTGGGCCTCCCGTGTGTTGCACTGTTGCTACGCAGGCCCCACTGCTGCAGTTCCCTCCCCAGAGAGGCGTCTCGCCCCCCCCCCCTCCCCCCAGTCGTCTGCCGTCTCGCCTGCGTCAAGGACTTATGCGTGAGGTCGGCCCGTCTAGGTATGCGACCTCGCCCGTCGCTGCGGCGGCTGTCTCGCGGCGTTTTTGGTCGCGCAGACATCTATCTCGCCTTCAGACAGGACAGCGTCCGAGGTATCAGGCTCGGACAGTGTCTATCTGCGATAGAGCGCCTCTATCTGGCCACAAGCGTCACGCCCGTGGAGTGTGGACGGACGCCATTCTGACCGACTCCTCTGCACTCGTGGAGAGTGGACCGCAGCTACACCTTCGCTAGGACATTTCCTACTTGACTTAACGGTGACCTTTGGTATGAGGTCACGCCGGAGGCAGTTGTGCTTCGGTAGCTGTCTGGAGAAAACGTGAGGACAGCGTGAAGAGGAGGTAGTTTCGACGTCGGTAAGTGGCCCGCTGCCGCCTCCAGCAGTCAGCTCTTTGTATCATTCAGTACCCCGTCTGCTGTCTGTGACGAGTTGCGCTCAAAGAGTTCTGCAAGATGCTGTCTCGATTCACAGAAAGGGCGCTGACGTCTTGCAGCGCCGATCTGACATAGGACCGGTCCAGTGAACTTCTGAGGCGGCAATAAAACATTGATTGTGGTACCTGTCCAACCGATCTGGATGGTGCAATCGTGGGGGTCACCTGCAGATCCCTGCTCTGTTATTCGCTTCAGAAATATTTTGTTGAAAGACTGCGCACATTCACAATGTTTAGGTGCTCATCCCACACCTTGTTATACCCTCTGTCAGCTTATGTTGTTGATAGGTGTTGATTATTTGGAAAAGCGCGGAGTGATTCCGGATTACTAGCTTCCATCAATCAAGCGCAACAAGCAAAGCAAACTTGCGCAGGTCATTTACTATCTTGCACTTCCAACCACGGGAAAATGAGGCTCATCATAGTCTCATATATCATCAGACTGACATCAAGCGATGTCCTACGCTCCTGTCCGTCGCTTTGTACTGCAGCTGTCTATAAATAAACTCCACCGCAGCTCTTGACTGATCCTTACGCAAGCTGCCGACCAAAACGAGTCGCATATTTCGACCAGCTACCTGAGGTTCCCAATTCTGCAAAGTGGCTACGCAGCGCTGCGTTCCCGAGCCGCTGCTAATGCGGCTGATGACCGGACTATTATGTCCGGTAGTTTCCGGCTGGTTGTTGCGGACAATGCGGACGCTGAATGCCGTGCTGTCGAGCACCCGTCAACACATTTCAATTCACGCCACGCGCTCGCAGGCGCTAAGCCGCGTCGATAAAGGCCGATTGCGTTCGCCGCGGACAATCGTAAATTACGGACGGTGTGTGGCAGCTTTGAAGTAACAGACGCGCCCGGCGGGATATTGGTCGAGTCTGTCCGCTTGTAGTTATTGTAGTACTGTGAAATGTTAGTTTTTTGCCCATGGTATTGCATATAGTGGACATTGTAGGTATAATAAATAATTTATATTGTATTATAATTGCATACAAAATCATTCTGCAGATGCATTCCGTTTTACTGAGTTCAGCCGTTTTGAAGCGCATCTTCCACCTCCCCACAGCTGTGTGTGATCTCGCCCAAGACCACTTGGCGAGACTCTCCGACAGCCCACTCGGAGCGCTCACCCCTCCCCTTCCCTTCCTGCCCAACAGACGAATACACCAAGATCCAGACCCCGCGTCAGGACATGATCTTCAAGAAGAGCGCCTTCACCCGTCGCCGGCCAGCCGCCGACGGAAGCCTGTCTGAGGAGGCCGAAACCATGAGCGTGGGTGCGGGCTCGGAGCCGGCACCGCCTTCCGAAAGAGCCGCCTGTCCCCCGGCGGAACAGACTTCCTCGGGAACTCCAGAGCTGTCTGAAGTCTCCAGCGAGGGCAAGGCCGCCAGCGGTGAGTACCCGCGCAAGCGGCTTGGATGTCAGAGAAAAAGAGGAGATAAAAAGTCGTGTGGATTTACGAAAACGTTAGAGCCTCATAAAACAGCACGCGCGTTTCTTTTTCTTTTCTTTCTTTGCGATGGTGACGCCAGGTCCCGCTGGCGTTGAAGGGCGTTGAAGTTACGAGGACATGGACATCGTAAGTCTGGAGTAAAGCAAACAGTGGCTCTAAGTCGCAAACTCGCGGCATCTCGGAGGAATGAGGCCGAGGTGAGGGTCTCCATGAGGGCCGATACGTGTGGCGAGATTCGGAGCGGCGGACCGGCAGAGATGATCGAGTGGCCCCGAGCGGTATTGCGCAGGCTATTAGCGGTGACATCCATCACCGGGATGATGGAGTTGGATGATAATACCGCCGCTTCCATCGCTGTCCCGTGGCCGTGTCAATGGTAAGCCTGAGAAAGAACGATGCTACTAGGAAATATTGGTGTGTTGGATCATTTTACTTGTGCATGAGTTAATATTTTTAACAATTATATCGAACTTAGGTAGAGTTAAACGTAGGCTAGCTCGATAAAGAAATTTGCCCTCGCTCACAAAACTAATTAAATCAACTACAGCCTTCTCTATATATGGAAAAGTTTGTGAATCAACCCACAGATGTATGGATAACGAAATTGACTGACATGTAACCAAAGGTCTGCGACAAAATATTTATACCTTATCACCCAGAATGACACATATGCGTTCGCGCGATGGCTTCAAAACGCTGGAGGGCTACGAGCGCCCTTTTAAAGAGCCGTCCATCACCGCTCAATTATGAACGGAATCGACCAAATCCGGCGCCCGATTACAAAACAGTTCGTGGGCAGAATCCCGGCTTCTGACCAGAGTACTAATCGATGTCGAGGCTTCGGGCTGGCAGATGATCCTGGCAGTTAGGCCGATTCAAGCAGCTTTAGCATCAACGACCGGGGAGGGAGGAGCGGTAAGTTGGAGACTCCCAACACTCCCATTGGGAACATAATCGGCTGGAGTGCAATATAGCATCCGTCCCTTGAGACCCTGGATGCAATTAAGTCGTGTGAATTTTGCATGTTAATCCATTGAACGATATTACGTACACAGGATAGCTTTCAAAAAGGTCACCTCACTATGGGTGGTTTCATTTTTTACGATAATCGGCTGCTGTTCAGCTGTTGTGTTGTGGCGGAGGACCGCCCTCGCCACTATTCTAGCTCAATAGAGCATCGATTCAGCGGTGGAGCGCTCGCCGACCGGGCCAGGGAATGGCACCGATGTGTCATCGTGACCGGCCTGATATTGGACCCGACCCGTAGAGCTATTGGTGACATTTTAACAATGACGTCATTGGCTGAATTCGGGAGATTTTTCGATTATTTCACCACCTGCACGGTAGTTGAGTTTGGGTGGGGTTTCACGAGGGATGGAAAGGGCGACTAGGAAAGAAACGCTGCGTGTACGGCATGACAACTTTTCGCTGCTAACAATGAATAATGACAGGTCAAAGAGTCACGGAGCTAGCGTCACGGGAGGTTGTCACGTCGGCGTTTTGTCGTCACGTAACGTGACAGCTACCACGCCCATGGAAGCGATGGTCATCTATTTTTTAGGTCAAATTTGGCAAAGTCTGGCATAGTGCTCTGTTCTAGGCCCCTCGCAGTCACACAGCATGTCACCATCTTTCCGTTCCCGCGTGTTTCTTCCAACAATCCCCTGCACATCCTTTTCGGAGGATCGGTGCCAGCGGACAAATCCCAGGGGCTGCTCGCCTCCCCTCGCGAACAGGGCTCCAACAGGTCACCGAGTCTCCAGTAACTCAGTCTAAACTGGCATTCCGGCGGTGGTGAGACGACTGGAACCGAGGGGACCGGGGAGCCGATGGTGAAACTTGGGCGGAACTTTGCCGGGGCCGGCGCCGGTGGCGGAATCCGCTGTATCTCCTCCTGTCTCGCCCGCTCGTCTCCGCTCGTTGGGAGTGTATCTCCGTCTGCGGTATTTGTCATCCATGACTCCGCGGGGGTGGCTCGTCTCGTCGCCAGGCACCACCGCGAGGGGGCTGCCTTCATTAGCGTGCGCCGGAGGTTGTTTGCGCTCACCGAGGTGGCCAGTGAGCGTTACCCCCGGTGGGCCGGTGCGCGACACATGTGTCCCCTCGCAATGTCCCACTCGGAGTCGCTATTCGCTCCTCACAGCGCTCTGGGGAAGAATTCGATGACGTGTTTTCGGTAATGTGAGCCGCTAGAGGTGATTCGCGTGATACATCGCCTCAGCGGGTGACCACCGAGACCCCTTGTACCGGCCGGCCGGTCGGGATCCTTACCTCGTCGGTGACAGTTTCACGGCTTGCCTCTGTGTGAAATATACGACTGAAGGTGATGTATGCCTCCATTCCCAGACTGCGCAGAACCGCACTATTTTTTCAGTCAACGCGGCACTCTCCTACCGAAATTTGACCCAAACATCATCAAATTTCATACAATCCATCGGTCACCCATCATCTCCGTCTAGACTTCGATTCCCGATAGTCCTGGCCGGTTACGTAATCCCAGCTCCCAGCAGATTTGCCTTGCCTGGCTTCGGGCGGCAGAGCCGTCCGTGCGCAGCTCTGCCCGACCCACGGAGCTGGTCGACTTCTGGCTGTTATTCTGTTGTCTTACTCTGCTCGCTCGTCATTCAGTGTCACCTGGCTGGCATCTGACGAACGGTAGCCTCCAACGGTCGAACGACGCGACGGCTGGGCACGCGGCCAGGTGGACTGGTGGAGGGCGGTGCGGTCGTCGGTAGTTAGACAGTCGCCACTGCGCTGGACAGATAGTTGGACATAAGACAGCTGCCTCTGGACATGTGAGCATTAGATGACGGCGCGGCTATCTTTAGTTACTTTAGTTAGACGGCCACCATTGAATTGTAGAGGGTTCAGCTCACAGCTTTTCTTTAGTCCTGGTAATATTTGACAGCTGTGTCTGGACAGTGGGCAGCTGTGGACAGCTGTGTCCGTTTCGTAATGCACAGTTGTGAGCAGCCGTGTCCATTGGACTGCGAATAGCTGCGTCCTTTAGACGCAGCCAGCTATGTCCGTTGGACAGTGAACGGCTGCTGATAGCTGTGCCCATTGGATAATTAGCAGCTGATGACAGCTGTGTCTATTGGACAGTGGAAAGTTGTATCCTCTGGACAGTGGACAGCTGCAACCGCCGCTGGGGGCGTCGCAGGTCGGCTGGTTGGCCGGCCAGCGAAGCCGCAGCAGTGCTGTCGCCGTCCGCGCGCCAGTATTGATCCGGCCTGGCCCGGCCCTGCACGGCCACACCGCGCCCGGCTTCGACACGCGCATCGGAACAGATTCGGACGAGCTCCCTCCGAGCCGAACTCGAATTTCCTTCCGGTGCCGCCAACCGAGAGAATTCAGTGATACAACTTGTTCTTTTATATACCCGCCATCGGTCTGTGTATCCGTTTGAAATTTGGCGCTCAAGACTGACAGCCGAGAGTCGCTCCGTGGGCCTGTCATCTGAAATAATTTCAAATATCTAGGTCAGAATTTGAAAAGCAGAAATACATAAGTTGAAATATACCAAAGCAAACTTGAGCCCAAAGCTGCTCTCATAAGAAACTTGCGAAATCTGCAACTGATAAATCACCGTTTATGCCAATCATTCCAAAAAACCTGAGTCGCACTTGTTCTCTCAATGCGCATATCAGTCGCTCAAAATCTGGTCCCATTGGTCGTAGGCATATCTCGGCTCCTGCCCGCATCGTGCTGCCAAATGACGGTATTTGGCAGCATCTGTGAGTCGTATCAGTCGTACCTACACGCCCGCAGCGCTCGGGACCGACAGACGGCGAAGCGACATGCTACTCTACATAGATCCACTGCATCAATTCGGATGCGGATTGAATGAAGAACGTCGTTCATTTTTAAACTGGATCGTGCTTGTTCTGAAGTGCAGTCAATGGGCGAGGAACATACGTATGGGAAGAATGAGAAAGGGAGAAGTGGAGATGTGCTTATCTTTCGCTTAGAAGGCGGAACGGGTAGCGTCGAAACGATGGATCTGGCATAAACTGGGTGCCTTATATAACGTGCGGCGCAGAGCGGGTTATATAAGAGGAGAGCGGCTCCACAGGAGAATTAGGCAACGCTGCGTAGGCTCGACTAGAAGAGAAGTGTGACTGCCACGTCCGATGGAGCTGACTGACTTTGAAGTCAGTCTAGTGGTACGATGTGATGTGAGTGGACTTTCTGAGCTATAGGCCAAGGCGATTCTTCGCCTTGAAGGAGCGTGCATCTCCTTTGTAATAGAAATTACTCAAAGAAGAAACACTCAAAGGAGCTTGAGCTTTTTTTGAGTTGCCCATGCAAAACATTAATGCACAACGCGTAACAAATAAAGGAGCATTTGCATTTTTCAGACATGTGGGTTTGTGGATAGATAATAGGTTGATTTTTACATGAACACTTAACTTTATTTATCAAGTTTGAGGCCCGTAGCTATTTCGTTGTTGTTTTTCTTGTTGTTTAAATACTAGATATTCAAGCTCTTTATGAAGAGCTAGTAATTATGATGAACATTCTTATAGCTTTAAAATTTTTGATTTACCATAACATGTACCAACTCAATATCTACATATGATTTTAGCTTGAACAGGGCACTTTCTGGATCCTGAAAAATGTTACATTTGTCTTTAAATTATGTAAAATTGATCAACAATCAGTACCACATGGTTACCAATCGAGATGGTTGTTGACCGGTGTTCGACACAGCTAATAAGTTTTCGTAACCTTAAAAATTAAAGAGTACCTACTTGTATTTTTGCGATAGTAAGTTATTCAACTGATATTTTTTTCGTGCGATGCATGCATGTTTTTTGTCGAATTTCTTATAGACATTCCCCCTTCCCATTCAATACTGTCGCCACTAAAAATAACAGCATCCAAAACCTGCCACCGCCCCTTCCTCTGGAGGTGATCGCTGACCTCCCATACCCCGG